AAGCCTTGGCTCAGAAAATTTTGACACAGTCTCCATGAGTCTCATCTACATTTGAATTCACTTTTCAAAACAAAACATAACTAAAAGATAAACTTAGCACACAATATTTTTGGATTTTTTAATATTTTCTGAAAAAAATAAAACAGAAACAAAAATATTTTTGGATTTTTGATTTTTCTGAACAAGAAATAAAACAGAATATAACACTATTTTTGGATTTTTTTAATTTTTCTTATTTTGTTTGATTTTTGAATTTTTTTTTAATTCTCCCCCTAAATTTGTGCATAGAGGAAAACTATGAACAAATTTAACAAAAACAAAAATATTTGGGATCAAAGTTGTCAAGCAATCCAATATCATTTATCAGCACACGCCTGCATGTCTAGATCTGGTCAATCACCGGTATTGTGGTCCACTTAAACACAAAGGATGTTGACAATTTGGACAGATTATAAGTGACAAGTCATTGTGATATATATTCCTAAATGGAAATTTAGCTGACGACGACCAATGATATTGTTGTCCACTTAAATTAAGCAGCAAGATCTACAGACAACCTATTAAATGGTTCAATTTTAGATATACTAAAACATGTTCCCCACTTCCCGATATACCCTGATTATCAAGAACTTCCAAAGAACTCCTTACTTTAGGTGAATAGACAATTATTAAGGAGGATGTCAGATTTAGAAATAGGTGCATATGTTGTGTCCCAGGTCGGATCTCTTTCAATCACGCAGAGGGGACAAAATATGACTAACAGAGATAGAGGGATTGAGAGGTAGAATGTTGCATATGTTGTGTCCCAGGTCGGATCTTCCGATCGCGCAGAGGGAACATCATATGGCTGACAGATAGAAAGAATTGCATAGATAAAGAGGTGCATAGAAGTAGAGTTGCATATGTTGCATTCCAGGTCGGATCTCTTCCAATCACGCAGAGGAAGCAACATATGACTGACAGATAGAAAGCAAGAAAACAATTTCCTACAGACCTACTTTATCAGAACCCCCCAATTGCCCTATCAGAACCAGAATTAAGGACATAAGTTTGTACATCAAGGAAAAGTTGAACCACTGTTCTAGATGCGTATTAATTTAGTGTATCTCGCAGGCTCCCATGTTTATCTTACCGCTCAATCTACCCGAGCATCGTATGGTCAGTCCAAATGAAACTATCTAAGTCTATATTGTCTAGTCCTTTCATGGTCAATCAATGTCTAGTCCTTTTGAATCCTTTGTGCCTACCAGCACATTGAATACAGAGTCTAAACAATTCGGCTTTAGTGCATTACACGCATCATAAATTGTCCTTTAGCACTATACTTCATATCACTTCCCAAAACAATACCTACAAACGAAAAACTATAAGAAAATAAAAGATTGTCTTCAAAACGAATCAGTGTAAGATAAACTCAGGAGTATCGAGAAGAAAACTCAAACCGTAAGTCATCGATTGAATTTGCATCCAGAAGGTCTGAGAACAACACGCATAATCTCAGAACAGATCCGAATTTCTTCATGTCATTAAGCACAAACCCCATGTGTGATCCCTTCCTTTCTTCCTTTCCCGCAAAGGACACATACTCTCAAACAAAATTTTGAATGTTGTATAGTTGAGAGATGCCTCCTATCATGTGCCTGGAACAGCCACTACCAACAAACCCAAGTCTGATGATATGCCTCCATAGTTGCTCCAACACAGAGCGGTATTAGTTGGTCTTTGGAACCCAGTCCATTTTGAAACTGGGTTGACCTTTGTCATCCTTGCACGGTACTCTCTCCCATAACATATCATGTTTATCACAAACAGAAGATGAAGAAATATTAGAGTCATTGGGTGATTTGGGAGATTGAACCTTTGGTACACATCTGTAGTTGGGTTTAACCCATTTCTTTTTCGATCCGATGGGTGCCTCGGTACTTGATTTTGAACTTGAGGTCTGCTGTCGAGATGACTTTGACCTAGCCGATTTTGGTTTCGTTGGAGCATTTCTTGAAATTAGCTTCTGGGCCAGCATTCCCTTCTTGCCCTTGGGAGTTGATTTCTTGGCCTTGGGAGTTGAACTCTTGCCCTTCGTGGCATTCCAGTCGTCATTGTCTGAACGTGACCTTGAGGGGTTTCTTTTGGAAAATCTCCCTCTTGGCACGTTCTGCCACAGTGAACGTATGCGCGATTTGGACAATTTCTGGCAATGTGTCCAGGTGTTCCACAGTGAAAGCAAGTCTTTTTCTTCACTGGGAAGTTGTTTCTTCCTGCCCCTGGTGGCGTATCCTTGCCTTGTTCCTGATTGTTCCCACATGCACACTTGCAGCAAGCACTCTGTTTCGCTTGTTTTGGTGGCCTGTATTTCTCAACAGCAGGTTGATCAGAAGCAACTGAGTTCGAAGCAACAGATTCAGAGTTCAAGGAGACATTGGTTTGTTCAATAGTTTTCTCCTTGTTCTCATCTTCCATTACTTTACCAGCACAAGAAGTAGAAGCATTAGAATCGTTCAGCTCAACACTTTCTGGCACAACCATGGTAGAATTATCAAATATATCATCAAATATATCGAAAAATTTAAGTCATCGGACTTTGACACAATTTTATTATCAGACACACTCTCTTCAGCTGCTTGCTTGCAATGACTTAGTGGTTGATCTGCATAAGAAGTAGAAACATTAGTACTTGCAACCTGAGGACCACATCCTGACACAAATACAACAGGTTTGCCATATTTGAGATGTGCCTCTCTGTCCATTTCCTCTTTTGTCAAAGGGTTATACTGATAGGTGTGATTAAAAGCAGGAGGCACTTTATCATACCCTAAACCCTTTTGTTGGTTATTTTTAAATCTTAAACTATTTTCCATCATTGACGCAACTACTTCATTCGACACATCAAATTTTCTGAAATTAAAATCTGCATTTTCAAACTTATTTTTCAGTGTGTCAAGTTCAGCAGTTAACTCAGCAAGTTGTTCTGTCACAAATCTATAGTTTGCACATTTATTACTGTATTCTTCTTGAAGTTTCCTAAAATCTTTTGTTTTTGCTTCTAATTGTGCTTTTAGAGGTTTCTATCATATCCTGAGTTGATATCCTTCGTATTTTAGGTCCTCGTTCTCTCTACGTAATAATTCGATATGCTCAAGTAAAATTTTAACATTATCAATGCATGTTTGAGAACAAGAAATTTCATTGACTTTAGTGTTTGAAGAACTCATTGTTTATCAAAAAATGTCTTTTGACTAAAAACTCAAAAGTCAACCTTAAAAGTCAAATTTAAAAAGTCAAACTTAAAAGTCAAAAATTAAAAACTAAAATTTTTGGGTTGAAAATGAAATTTAAAAATAAAGAAATTGGTTTTTGGTCTAAATATGTCAAAATTCGAAATTAGGAACCGAAATGACTCCTTTGAATTAAATTTCGAAGGATTATTCCATCTAGCAACCTAGATGAGTTGGAAGAAGCGTTGGGGTGAGGAATCAGGAGACCTAGGTTCGATCTCTGGCAACCCCCAAAATCGATTCCCTTTTTTTTAGTGTACGCTCCTGCTTGCGAGGACGAGTGTACGTTGCTGCTTGCGAGGACGACTGCTGCGACGCGACCGAGGCTGCTGAACGAAGACTCGTTGGGCCGAACACGTGCGAGGCTGGCCGCACATCGAGGACCGTGAACTTTGGGCCGTACACGGGTCTACGGTCGTAGACCCTTCAAGGGTCGTACACCTTCAACGGGCCGTGAACTAGCTTCAGATACGAATAAAAACAGCGATTTTTGCCCTTTTTTGCTCCAAAACTCGATCCAAAACTCGTTTTTATCAAAAATGCAAAGAACAAACCCCTCTTATTTTGCCAAGATCTATCCAAAAACGCAGAAATTCTCCAAAAATAAGATCAAATACGCTCCAGATCTGGAAAAATTGATTGATACAAACCAAGCTCTGATACCACTTGTAAGTCCCCAATCTGCTTGTGTATCAATCAGATCCGTTTGATGGTGCGGAATCCCAATCAAACGGATGATGTCAAATCAAATGAAGAAGAAGGAGAAGAAGAAGATGATGATGATGATGAATCTTATGTATTGATGATATGAATGAAGATCCTTACAAGAGATTCACACACACACTAGTTCTTCTCTCTAGTTTCTCTCTCGAGAATATGCTCTCCTTCTCTAGCCTTCCAATCCTCATCCACCTAACATCTATATATATGGTATATAGACCGTGAACAGGTTCACGGCCGTGAACTGTTCACGGTCGTAAACACAACCGTAAACACATATTACTTTACAGAAAAATACGTTTTCCTAGAAAAGTAAAATATAAACCAAATTTTGACCCAACAACACTTGACACGAACACAACACGAACACGGATTCAAATTTCAGTTTCGTCTCAATTTCGTTTCATGTTGTGTATTTTTGTCGTGTCGTGTCATCAATTGTCACCCCTATAATTATATGAAAGCTGCCAATATTGTATATATGTAAAGAAAAATTAAATATCCTCCTACTTTTTGTAAATAATTCAAGACTTTATCTTATTAATCTACTATGCATTATCATTTGTTTTAATTCTTCCAAAAAATATATAATATTAGATATTATAAATATAGAAATGGACACTAAGCCTAGTCCAAATGCACAATCCAATCACGAACAAGTTTGGTTAAATATCGGGTTTTTAAGAACCTGGTTCAGTTTATCTGATCTGATTGGATTTAACCGGATCACATTCTAGTTGTTGGAAACAAGATTAGGACCAAATAATTGAAACTAGATTAAACCGCCTCACTTTTTTGGGGGAGAAACCGGTTACAGGCCAAAACTGGTTTTGGGGTCGGAGGAAACCGGTTTATGTGTTTACCCTAAAAATCCGACTCGGTTAGAAACCAGTCCGGATCAGTTAAAAGATGATTTTGTAAACCTCCAGATGGGTAACCCTAACAAGTCTCATGTCCCTAAATCAGAACTTGTTAGAGGTCAAGACACATCTTTGGGCCAGTTAAGCATTAAAAAGGAACAAACAAAAAAGGATCATAACATTCATTATAAGTATTCTTGAATCTTGATAATATACAAGCAAGAAAATGTCTCGATACCTCGTGGTTGTCAGGAGCAAGAAACACAAATACATTGATGCTAAAAACCAAACATCTATCACTCCAACTGAGCATACCAGACACCCTGGATTTTCACATCCTTTGGAACCTTAGCCCCAAGATCAGTATCCGAAGGCTGAATACTCTCAAACACTCCAATCACCTCTCCAGTATCCGGCTTGCTTGAGGTGACACTCAAAGTAATCTTTCCCGTTGATGCTGCAACATTCTTTACGTTCTCTTTAGAAAGCTCCTCTTCATCTCCCCTCCCTCCTGCTGGCAAAGCAACAGCATTATCATATCCGGTGGAACCACCTCTACCCTTTGGGTCAAGAAACGACGATCCTCTGTAAGATGGCACTAGAAATTCTCCACTAAAGCTCTCTGGTTTCCCAGATGCTACGAGTTGTTTGATTGTGAATAGGAATGGCACACGTTCACCTCCGGGAAGCTGAACAGTCACAGCAGCGTAGTCGATTCCATCTTTCTCCTCGAACTTAATGGATCCATCAGGAGACACTTCAAGAGGACCCTCGATCTCGTCAAGGGTGTAGGTCAAACGGGTCATGAGTTTGGTCTTTTGAAACTCCGGTGTAGAGTTCTTGCTTACACCTTCGGCTTTGACTGTGAATGATGTGGGTTCAAGGCAGAATTTCTTGGCGTTGTATTTGCCGGACTTGAAAGCAAACCCAGTAACTCCGCCGTCAATGGTTGGGCACTGGTTAGCTGTTCCGGTTCCTTTTACTTCCATGTATGTCTTGCTTTGGATCTCATCAAAAGTTAGCCGTTTTGGACTTCCCTCAGCACTTGCTCCCTGATACAATATCAATATACATGTATACACACTTACGCAAATAAACAAAACAGTTATAATATATACTTGGATCAATATGTCACTAAGCTAGTAGGAAATTAAAATCAACAGTCAAGAACCGGAGGAGACATACCGAAACAACAAGGGCAGAAGTGGCAAGAGCGAAGCCGGCGATCTTGGCGGCATCAGTGCATTTCTGAGCGAAGTCCTTGAGATCAGCCTGAAGAGAGCAAGACACTCTGGCTCCAGAGGACTCGACACCGAAGGCCTTGCAGATGCTCGGAGAAGACTTAAGCTGCAGACGGCCGGAGACACCCACCTTGGTTGGTTGCATGAAAGTTGCCGCTGCTTGCAGTGAAGCTGCCATTGCTGCTTCTTCCAAACCGAATCGTCGTGATTAGTTGCAGAAAGTGGGATTGAAGTAGGAAACAGATTTGTATGGTGGAGAGGTTTGATGGAGATTTTCTTGGAATGACGAGATAAGCTGATAGGATAAGGTGTTACTTGATTGGCTGATCTAAAGGTTATGTGGTGTTGATGTGTTGACAAGTGGCGAATTGAGTTTTAGGATCAAAAAACTTTCACTCTATTTCCACATGGACCATCGATGACAAGTCATCACAGCATTCGTGTTATCCAATCACATCCTCTCTGTTACAATAATAAGATTTTTGTTATTAACATGAGATTCTTAATATATATTTTAAAACTAACATAAAGGAAATTATAAAATAGAATCATTAAGTAGTAATTAACTTGTTAAAAAATCAATCTGTAAAAATGAAAAAAAAAAAAAAAAAAAAACATAAGATACATGGATAAAATGAATACATAATAGTCTTTGTAAGAGAATATTTTTCTAAAAAAATGTGTAAAAAAGGATTCAAATGTTAAAGAAGTTGTAAAATATTTCTTTTATGAAAGAAAATAAATCAAACACATTATTTATAGAAACAGAGAAGTATTAAAAAAAACATAAAACTCATTTAAAAATTATTAAAAAAATTTGTAAAAGTATTTTATATGGAATAAAGTTGTTAAAAACTAATTTTTTTAAAACAAATATATTTATAAAATATGTAAAAGGAAAGTTGTAAAAATATTGATGTCTAAAGTCAATGATAGTCTAACTATCATTGTTGTAAATAGTTAAGGGTTGTGCTATAAGTACCCTTTAACCAATTTTATCCCTTCTAACATCAATCAAATCAATTTTTTACCTTTGATTTGACATTATTTTTTTCTTTTTCTTTTTTTTTTCCTTTTGGTTTTTGATTTTTTTTTCTTTTATTTTATATTTTAATATTATTATTATTATTATTATATATATTATGGAAATTGTTTCTTATGAATAGTGAACTTCCATAATTTTTGTTTATTTTAGTCCCTGGACTTTATGTTGTTTTTTTGGCAGAATTGGTCCCTGTACTTTGGCAACTTTGGTCCTCATTTTTTAGCCATTTTGACACTTTTAGTTATTGTAATTATTATATATATATTATGGAAATTGTTTCTTATGAATAGTGAACTTCCACAATTTTTGTCTATTTTAGTCCCTGGACTTTATGTTTTTTTTTTTGCAGAATTGGTCCCTGTACTTTGGCAACTTTGGTCCTCATTTTTTAGCCATTTTGACACTTTTGGTTATTATATATATATATATATATATATATATATTATATATATATATATATATATATTATATATATATTATATATATATATATTATGGAAATTGTTTCTTATGAATAGTGAACTTCCACAATTTTTGTCTATTTTAGTCCCTGGACTTTATGTTGTTTTTTTGGCAGAATTGGTCCCTGTACTTTGGCAACTTTGGTTCTCATTTTTTAGCCATTTTGACACTTTTGGTTATTGTAATCGATATTTTTACATTTTTAAGAACCTTTTAATATTTAAAGTTTGGCCACAAAACTTTAACGGTTTGACAACTTTGATCCCTTTTCTATTTAGGAACCTTTTAATATTTAAAGTTTGGCCACAAAACTTTAACGGTTTGACAACTTTGGTCCTCATTTTTTAGCCATTTTGACACTTTTGGTCCTTGTAATCGATATTTTTACATTTTTTTAGGAACCTTTTAATATTTAAAGTTTGGCCACAAAACTTTAACGGTTTGACAACTTTGATCCCTTTTCTATTTAGGAACCTTTTAATATTTAAAGTTTGGCCACAAAACTTTAACGGTTTGACAACTTTGGTCCTCATTTTTTAGCCATTTTGACACTTTTGGTCCTTATAATCGATATTTTTACATTTTTTAGGAACCTTTTAATATTTAAAGTTTGGCCACAAAACTTTAACGGTTTGACAACTTTGATCCCTTTTCTATTTAGGAACCTTTTAATATTTAAAGTTTGGCCACAAAACTTTAACGGTTCGACAACTTTGATCCTTTTTCTAAAAACTTGCTAATTCCTACCGCTTTAATTCTTTAGCCATTTTGACACTTCTGGTCCTTGCAATCAAAACTTTTACATTTTTCATAAAAACATGAATAAAACGGTCTGGGGCAAAGCCCGGGCTTGTCATCCTTGCACTTTCTACGTCTGTCATATTTATCGATTCGGAAACAACATTGAAAGCTTCTGGCCCCCGCGTAGCGGGGGTAACCTTTCTAGTTATTATTATTAAAATTCGGTAAACATTATAAATTCGCACGACATTATAAAATTCAAAAGACTTTTTTGTCCGTAATTAAAAAATATAAAAAAATATTTAAAAACCGATTTTATATAGCCGTTTGAATTTATAATGTCGTCCGAATGTTAAAATTTTGTGCGAAATTTATAATAATAATAATAATAATAATAATAATAATAATAATAATAATAATCAAAATATAATAATAATAATAATAATAATTAAAAAAGAATTAAAAACAACAAACAAACAAAATAGGAAAAAAAACAAAAAAAAAACAACAAAAGACAAAAATTCAAATCAAGGGGGTGTAATTAGAAAAGGAAGGGGGTACTTATAGAAAACCTCATAGTTAGTTACTCTTTTGTTAAGAAATATTACATGTGGCTTAAGTTTGTTAGTTTGTTAGATTAGAGTTAGTCAGTGTATTATCCTTGTATATAATGAAGTCTGTAATCATTTTAAAAGAGTTAATGAAAAAAAAATATAAATCATTTCTTTTCCTTCATCTTCTACATGGTATCAAAGCGGAAGCTCCTGATTTCTTCAATTTCGTTTTTGATTTCTCGATTCATTGTTCTATCTTCATTTTATTCATTTCGTTTTGAATTTTGATTACAAGTTATGGATCAAAAATTCTACTTTATCAAATGGATCTAGCGGATCTAATATTGAAATTTCTAGTCTGTATTATCTAGGTTCTTCGAATAACCCCAACACTATTCTTGTCTCAAAAGTTTTTGATGGAATTGGATTTGTTGCTTGGAAGAGATCGATGACATTAGCATTATCAGCGAAGAAAAAAAATTGGATTTGTTGATGGTTCTGTGATTTAACCTGAACTCAATTCAGAAATTCTTCCAATTTGGAATCGATTTAACTCAATGGTGATATCTTGGCTTCTTAATTCTTGGAGAAAAGAAATTGTAGAGAGTGTTCTCTTTCTTCAAACTGCAAAGAAGATCTAGAATGAACTGAAGGATTGTATTCTCAATCCAATGGTGCTCTTGTGTTTCAAATTCAGAAACAACTATACTCTTTCAGTCAAGGTTCAGAAGATTTTTCAACCTATTTCACAAAGATTAAGAAGATTTAGGATGAATTAAGAATCAGTCAAGAGATTCATGCTTGCATATGTAGTAGATCAGTTTTAGCTCTTAACAAATTCATTGAAGAACAACGTTTAATCCAATTGCTCATGGGATTAAACGACTCCTATAAAGCCATAAGAGGTTAGATATTGATGATGACTCCATTGCCTTCTATTTCTACTATTCATTCTTTGATTATTCATGAAGAAAGGAAAAGAGATATCTCTTCTAGTCCTAATTTTATCACTGAAGCTATGCAATGTATGTCAAAAAGAAAAAATTGAGTTGTTCACACTGCAAGAAATCGGGACACATCAAGTCAAAGTGTTATTGTCTCAATGGTTTCCCAAGTGATTTCAAATTCACTAAAATAAAGAAACTAGAGTTTGTGGCTAATCATGTTGCTGATTGTTCACAATCAATTTCACCAGAGCAATACAAACGGTTAATGTAGCTTCTGAGTAACAAGAATGGATCTACTCAAATCAATTTTGTTATTACTGATGGTGCGATGGATACAACAGGTAAATACATTGATTCTTTGGGAAATCATGTCTCATATGTTTTTAACATAGATATTTCTAATGGTGAAAATTCTACATGAATTATCGATTCTGGTGCTACCGACCATATTTGTTCAAATAAACACTTATTTTTTTTATATAAAATTTGTGAAACTTTTTAATATGACTATTATAGTTCAATACATATCGATGGAAGGCAAACGGGCAACAAGCTGCGCCGCTAGCCCTTTCTGGATAGCAAAACTAATTCTGTTGAAAACAACATTTGTGGATCTAGGAGATTCATAACACTATCAAACTAAAGGAGGTTCTTTATGTTCCTGAATTCAACCACAGTCTCATCTTTGTTGCCAAAATCACAGATCAGTTAAAAGTATGGATGATTTTTATTGATACTTTTTATGCAATGCAAGCCCCTTTTTCTAAAGATAGCTTCATCATAGGGAAAAAGGTGCACAATCTATATCTTCTAGGACAAAAATTCAAGATTCCTAAGTCTATTCATTTAGTTTCTTGTAACAAAGATGATATTACTCTTTGGCATCATAGACTAGGACATTTAACATTTGAGAAATTAAGATTACTATCTCTAACAAATAAAGGGTGTAATAATGATGTTTTTAACACTTGTAATGTTTTTTAACAAGCTATACAACACATACTATCCTTTTCTTTGAGTGAAAATGTTTCTCAAAGTATCTTTGATTTGGTGCATGTTGATTTGTGGAGACCATATCAAGTACAAACTTATAATGGTTTTAAGTATTTTTTTAACCATTGTAGATGATTTCAGCATATGTACTTAGGTGCATTTATAAAAAAAATAAAGGTAGTGCTTTCACTATCATCCAAGCTTTCATCACATATGTTCAGAAACAGTTTCAAACAAAAGTTAAAAGAATCCAAACAGATATTGCCTTTGAACTTGGCTCTTGTAACGTCCTAAAAACTCAGATGCAAAAGTTTTGTTTTTATATTAAATAAACCATCAACCAAATATGTTTATCAAAACCATAAGGAAATCAGAGTATATCAATAAACATCCAAAAATACATCAGAGTCCAATTAAGTGGAAATCATGGTGTGTTTAATGCGATCATCTCGAGCTCTTCCCCTTCGAACCGAAAGTACCTGAAACATAAACTGAAAACCGTAAGCACACAAAACTTAGTAAGTTCCCCAATGTACCGCATACCATATATATATATATATATATAT